AGTTCAAAAAATTGACTGTTTGAATTATGTATCATTTCACTATGTGTTTTTGACTATTTGCGTATTTTGTGCGAAATTTCTAATGATATTATGTGTTAAATAAGATTGTGTTCTTATTATTTGCCCCAGAAGGCGCTGTTAGTCTCAAAAATGGCAATTTGCGTCGATTCACTAACAAGCGGCGAATCACTTCTTATTTTTTTTGCGATCAAATATTACTTGCCTTGTATTATTTTAAAAAAATTAAATACTGAAGAATCTGCATGTATGTATGGATGTTTCTCGTACTGTGAAAAAGGCGACTGTACCTAGGGCCATCAAATTCTGAATAACGTATTCCTCCACCCGGACATGGGCACCTGGAAGCTCAAATTTTGAATTTCGAATTTTATATTTCCTGTTTTGTAAAACTTCATGAATTTTTAACAAGCTCGACGATTTGAAAGCGAACAGTGGCAGCACTGTACGGATTAAAACATTGTTATCTTTAGCGCACAAGACTGTGTATCAGAAATTCTAAAAGATATCCTGTTTTAAAAATATTTTTTGATTTTACTATTCAATTGAATTTTGTGTAATTCCGAAGGACCTGATATTTAATAAATAAAGTTGATGCACAAAACTTTAATAATAAAAAGACAAAAAAAAAATTTTTTTTTTGGTAGCCATCTTACTGAGAAGACTGAAAAAAATAGAAAAATGTTATGCCAACACTTTACGCTGCATCATGAATTCTAAACATATGTTGTTATGCTGCTTTTAAAATTTTTGCAGTTTTGCTGTAGAATTGTATGATGCTTAAAAACGGTGCTTAATAATAAAGCTAAAAAGACAAAAATAAGTGGGTTAGAAGCCTTGAGCGCAGCACCAGATTGGTAGATTGCGAGCTTAGCGTAAAAAATCTTGATAAATACTTTTGGGCGATCGTTTAAATTCTTAAACCTTTTAGATTTTTATTTATTAATTTTTTTTGATAAATTCTTTTAAATTCGACCATTTCTCCTCTCCTTTTTTGAGTACTAAACTGCGAAAAGGCGAGAGGTGCTTGTATACCTTTTCACCTTTGCTTCGAATTCACTGAGCCGGTAGAGGTAAGAGAGGAGGAAGGATAAAGGGTTTTCATCCCTCTCTAACACGGGGCAAGAGAGGTCAGAGTTCATGTCTTTGATCGCATGTCACTGCGTCTCAACTCATTCCCTCAAACTCATGCTCTAAAAAGAGTTAAATAATTTATTTTAGGGGGAAGGGAAATACGGTTTACTGTACATATAAATAAAAAGAAATTAATTGAAAATTATGAAAAAGCTTTTATTTAAAACTCGTAAAATAAGTAATGAAATGAAAGTAGAAAAATAATTTAACGTGTATAGTTTAACGGGAACAAGAGATTTTATAATTATATTTACAAAATTCATCTTCATTTTTTATTTATCGCAATCAATAAAAACATGGGGTTTTTGATAAAGTTAGTACTACTTATTCTTTGAACAATGCGATTCGATTAGTCAATTGAATTATTTAGTATTCAGACCCCCACATAGATTGTAGTAACAATGTAAGATAAATTATATTTATCTTTTAATTCATTAATTATTTAATGACATTTAAATAAAAACTTTGTTGAATTCCTCACTTTTATTCTGCTGAATTAAATGTCGAGGAACCTTAGTGAACGGTTAAGCGAATTATGGCTTTATTCAAAGAAGAGAAATCGTTAACTCAAGAAGGGTTAATTACCCTTTATTCGCTCAAAAGTAAGATGAACAGTCGGCACCTTTCTTCAGGCGTATGACAAAGCTTCCACTTGGGCTTAAAAATAAGAACTAACTATACCTAAGAAATTTAGCTGAAGCTAATACAATTCTAACGTAGTTGGCCCTTATTTTAAACTAGCCGGCAAACTATCAAAAGTCGCGTAATATACGGTCGAGCGTAACAGCAGTTGGAGAATCAGCCCACAGCAAACGTGCACTACTCAGGATTTCTAGCTCTCTCTCTCGAAGTAAGTTGAACTTTTCTTTCCTACTATCTCTTACTCATTTGCATTCAACGCGATTCTAAAAACTCATTCTGGTAGGGAGTTGTAAGTTGATACGAGGCAAAATAGGAAAGCACAATTAAATTGAAATAACTGTTATAAAATTAAAATATGCCTAATAGCTTATTTTGTAAAAACTTTTTTTTTTAATTTTCAACTTTTTAGTTACATGTACAGTACAAAGTCCGTAATTCGGACGTTCATTATCCGGAATGATCTATAATCCGGACCTCAAAGCCACAAACTTTTTTTTGTATGCTTTACGCATGCACGTAATGCGTTTATGCATGCGAGTTTAATGTTACGCATGCGCGTTTAGCACAAAAAACGAAGCAACTTACTTGCATTGAAAGAAATGTTTAATAAAGTAAACAAATAAATATTAAGTTTTTTTTTTTTTTTTTTTTTTTATACCTTTTAGATTATAATTTCTCTTCATGCGCGTTTAATGTTGACGCATGCGCGTTTAGCACAAAAAACGAAGCAAACAATTTACATTGAAAGAAATGTTTAATAAAGTAAACAAGTAAGTATTAAGCTTTTTTTTTTTTTTTTTTTTTTTTTTGTGGGTGTGTGGGTGTGCGTGTAAATTTTGATACCCTTTAGATAATAATTGCTCTTTATTTCATAAATTACGGTTTAATATTTTTAATTGTATAATTTCTGCATGCCATCTTACCAGATTTAAATTGTTGATCTATAATCCGGAAAAACTCCTAATACGGAATCGCCGAAGTCCTGACGAGTCCGGATTGCGGACTTTGTACTGTACGTTGTCATTCAAATTATTCAATTGAAAAATCATTTTCAACAATGAATATTTTTTTTTTTACTTCCAACTATTATGTCGCGTCTTAAAAAAAAAAAAAAAAAAAAAAAAAAAAAAAAAAAAATTAGCGATCTTGCCGAAAATGTCAGAATTTATGTTTAAAAACTGATATAAACTTTGTGAAAATATCCCCCTGATATTTTTAGTTTGTTTGCTAAATGAAGAGATGTGCAAAAGATTGTTTCAGTATTAATTCAAAAAAACTTAAATCGAATTTTTAAAAATCTCTTTATATTAATTGTTGTTATCAAAAATTTAGATAGAATCTAGAATTTTTTTTTTTTTTTTTTAAATCATGCTTTAAACTGACAGCAGGTTAAATGTGAGCGGCTAGTTTAGTTATATATAGATAACGCCCAAACACGCGAGAGCTATCTAAGAGGAGGGAAGCCTTCACGGAGGACTTTCTGAGGAAAGTTAGCGCGTACGTACGCTTCACTTAAGGGAAACCAACTATGCGGCTAACCTGTTCGTCTGGAATCAAACCCCAGTCGAACTCCGAGCATTCATCTCCCAGCAATAACCACTCAGCTACTGATGGGGTTTTCGGGAACGAATTTCTTGCGCATGTTGTTGTCACAAATTATAAAGCTTACGTTGTAGCTGATTGTGATGAACTAGTGTACTAGAACAAAATGACTTTAAAATAACAAAAAAGCAGTCCTATTTTAGCATAGATTTTAAATAAAACTATGAGTTTTGAGAATGATCAGACACAGGTTCCTCGTCTTGAAGAGGAAAAATGGCAACTCTTGCCCCTCTGAAAAAGTCTCAAGGTGTGTGTCACCTTTGTGTCTGATCGCTCTCGAATCAATAGAATTTTATTGGAAATCTAGCCAAAATAAGGTTGCTTTTTTACGGGATTGGTGGTGATTTTAAATTTCACATTAACATATTTTCCTTCCATTTGATTGAAAATGATTTATGCCTCCTCTTTTCTTCATGTTTAAAATGACATCTTCAGACCACATAATAACGGAAAATGCAGATGTCCAAATCAAGAATAATTACTGCATAAAGAGGAATATTAATATAGATGCTTTTAAATGTTAAATTAATAAATTACTTGTATTGTTATGCTTTTGTTCCATCATGGACAGAAGATAGTTTTAAAATTTATTAGCATATGCATGAAATTAATGAAGATGTTTGTAAATGTTTAATTAATAAATTATTAATGTTTCTTTATGCGTCATAAATGAAAGGTAGTTCTGAAATTTATTGGAATGTGCATGGGACAGTCTCAGCAATATTTACTATTAAGTGGTATTCTCTTAATCCTTTCTAGGAGCAACAAATGAGAGAAATCTTTGTTAATTTATATTTCAGGTAATAATTTAAAAAATTGAAACTAAATTGTGATGAATATGATGATTTCTGGATTCGTATCTTATGGTCTCCATGGATTTCAAAAGCTAAGAACGGAAACTTTGTTGCATAGACTGTATTCATAAATTTTCACATTCTTCAGCTTCGGGAAAATAACGAATGGTCTTACATCATTCGAGGTTTGTAGATATGCTTAAGGAGATAAGTTTTTTTTTTTTTTTTTTTTTTTTTTTTTTTTTAGGGGAGGGGGAAGCTGTGTAGATAGGTATTCCGAGCAGGCAAAGGTTTCGGTGAGGAAATTATTTTTACTGAATTCTTTGTCTTCCATCTCGTTTCCATGATAAAGAAGTCGTTAAGTTATTCATAACCTAAACAAGTGATTGGCCAGTACCACCTCTTGGGAAAAAATAACAGCAACTGTTGTGCTATCCTTTATTTGTGCACGACCCCCCTAGTTGCTGTTTACATTTGTATAACTTTCCGGTGCGCGACAGCTGGTCGGATGAAGTGGCGGCGGAGACGAAGTTAGCGTTTCCTGTAATCCGCAACCAGCCGGGCGAGTGAAGAGTGAATGAATGAATGAAATCCCGTCGTCCCCCCAAGGGAAGTCGTTCTTTCCAAACTCTCGTGGGGTCGCCGTTTCCCTCCTTTCACCTCCCCTCGCCATTCGAGCGCAGCCGAATCTTCTGCCAGCTGTCGAACGAAACGCTTGCACACCAGTGCTCTGACAGGCGTGCAGAACCTGCCGAAGTATAGAAAAGTTCCTAGTATGGAATGCAGCGGGTACAGAGTAATTTCTTGTGCTCTGCTCAGGGCAAATAAAATAGATGATAGCTAAGCAGTTGATCGAATTTGGTGAATTAATATTATCGAAAATTTTTGTCGAATTTTAGAATCATCATTATATTTCCGAAATGGATCCTGTTTTTCTTGTGTGCTTGTATGTGCTGAACATATTTCATCTGCCTCTGGTAAAAGATTAAGAGCTAATTATGCAGTTTAGTTTAACCTAGTAAGATGTTTCTCCATTCAGGTAAGTGCAGAAATTTCTGTATCTTCATTCCTACCCCTTTTTAAAAATGTTTTAAGTAAAATAAATTTCAATCTTATGATTGTGTAACTGTCTCCACCTGTTACTCTAAGCAATGGCTATTTCATAAAGGTGACATAAAAATTTTGTACTGTGAAAGTTGCTAACTTTTTGTTCTTAGAATTAAATTTTGTGCATAAAATTTAGTTACAAGCTGCTTATCAGCTTCGAGAAATGTTAACACTTTCAAGCCCTACGGGCTAGTCATTGAAAGGACCAAGGTATGAAATATAAAAGAACATTAAATAATATAAACTAGAGATGAAGGATAAAAGAACATTAAATAATATAAACTAGAGATGAAGGATAAAAGAACATTAAATAATATCAGTAAAAAAATTATGCTGTATATATTTTATATCTCTGATATAAAACATTGCTGTTGCAATGTTATCATTTAAATTTTATTATTTTTGGTTCTATCTCTTGAAGATCATTTAAGTCAAAATTATTTGCTAGATATAAGGAGTGTTTCATCTTATGTGATAAATTTTGAATATTCTTATTGAATAGAGCATCAAATTATGTCTATTTTGCATGATTGATCATAAATAAGATAAAGAATGCAAATAGTTTCTTTTCAAATTTTGGCGATTCATATACCTTTTTTCAGAGAAAGGCATCATGTTGTATTAAAAGAAAAAGTAAATTTGGAAGCACTTCCGGAGAGAACCAAACCCGTAAATTTATTGTTAAATACACTTGCTGCATGCTACTACTCAATATTTTGTATCCTTTCCATAAAATTCATTTGTAGAAAATTATCAGGGATATAAAATATATCAGTATATACCTTTTTTACATCAGGTATGTGTTTGTAAAGGAATTTCCAGGAAGTGTATTTTCACCCATTTTTTTTCTTTAGCTACACTTTTTCCAAAGGATAAAGAAGTGCAATTTTTTGCGCCCTTTAGATCTGTGATTTTCAGTCTTTATATATTTAAGGGTTACTTTTTCATCTACATGTGGACTGGGAACTTGCATACTAATTTTATTGATATTTTTCTCATGCATAGATACTTGTACACTAAAAACTCTTGTACAGTTACATACATGCAGTTTCTTTACAGGTAAAGTTGCAATTTTAGGTATATGAAATAATACAGTTAAATAAAGAGGAAATAAATTATAGTTTAAAAGTCCTTCAACAACATTATGAAAATATCTGGTTTCATGAGTTATCTTAGGTATCTTGTTATTGTATCAAATAGTTCATAGTCTAGCGATGCAATGCCACTCAGATTGATAGTAGTGATTGTAAATATGGAGATTTAATGAGGTATTTCATGTGGGACATTGAAGGATTGCAGCATCACAGTATAACTTCATTTACTTGGAAGTGGCATCAAGGGATTTTTAAGCTTAGACTAAATAATATCTTTTAAATTACCCAAGGCTTCATATGTTGGTACTCTCAAAATTGCTTAATTTGATGTTAGAATGTCACTGTAGTGCTTCTCAGATCAAAGGACATCACTAGGCAGAATCTCACCCAGTAGTACTTACAGTCTTCTTACAAGCTCCGACGCTTTTTCCACAAGCTAGTAGCAAATTTTTAAGTCAACTGAAAAGTGTTTCAGGCCAGAATATCTAAGGTGCTAATATTCTAGGCTAAAGATAAATAGCTTTCTAAAAAGGAACTTTTCTAAAATACTTTTTAAAGAGCAGCTTTCTTTGTACTGTCATTTTAACATCTGTAATTAGCTCAAACTAACAGTATTGAACCATGGAAAAAGAATCAAACGGAACCATCCTTTTGGTGACTTGAGTTTTGCCAGAAGACATAAAGAATGTGTAGTCATATCTTCTTTGCATGAAGCTTTGTTATGCTTAGTGAGAGGAATGTTTAATAGGTGGTTGGCTTCCTATATCTAAGTAAAGCTATTCCTTTTGTGTGTGTGTGAGAGAGAGAAAGAATTTGATTTCACTTTCATATGAAATACCTTAGATTAGCATTTAATTCTGTGCTGGCAGTTGAATCTTTTAATTCGCTTTGAGATTTTTTGTAATCATCAAAATTGTGAAGCATTTGTAACAGTAGAGCATGAAGCCTTTTTTCAAAACAAGTGGTTTCTTATGTAATAGATTGGCGATTATGAAGGGCAGGTTTTCTCTCCTAGGAAGCTTAATATACATTCAGCAGCCATGAAGGGCATATGGGAATTCTGTTATATTGTTGAATGTGCATTCATTTTGTTCAGGTCAGGAAATGCAGCAGTATTGTGTCAGTTTATGGATGGAAGTTATGTTCACATCTGTCTCCATTTGGATTGAAACATACTAGATTTTAATCAAAATAAGTGGGTCTGAAAGACAAATTTAATATAACCTATGCATGTGGCATCTGTAAAATTATATATACTTCCAGACCTTATTTTTCTTAAGATGCTTTTCTGGGTGTCTCATGGTTTTTTTCAGTACCTTTGTGTAAAGAAACCAGCAGAAAGCATACTAGCCCATGAAATCCACTTATGAGATTTTCAAGCCAAGTTCTGACTTTTATGCAAAATAGCATGTAAAAATTTCAGATTTGGATCAAAAAATCTTGAGGTCTCCTTTCAGAATATATTTCTTCCATCAAATATATGATACTAGATTATTTCCTTTTAAACAGTTCTGGAACCTCTTTTTCAAGATGTCCTTTAATTCATTGTGTTCAGACCTTTCATACTAGAAAATTGACTACTTAGGAAACAAGTAACATGAGGGAAATTAAGTGATTATATATGGTACTGATAGACAGCAAGAAAAGGAAAAATTCAAATTAAGGATTTCGTATGCAGAAATGGCCTAAATTTGTCATTTAATGGCACTATCGTTCCAAAGTTGAGGCCTCTTTTTGTGGAGCAGTTTTTACAGATTTCTCAGAAATTCTGATACAGATCTTTCAGATACCCATATTATGCTTTTCTGTAGATAGTTTATGCTTCAGACATGAATTAATTAAAAGGTGAACAGTGGCTCTTAATGTCAAAAAATGTTTTTAGAATCGTAGGGTCATTAAGTTTGTCGAAGCAGGAAATATAAAAAATGCACAGTGCCTTTTCTTTAATTCAAATACCTGAATATTTTTTAATATACTCTCATCACCAGCCAGGCATGCTTCCAATTGTATTAAGGCACATTGTTTAGAGGACAATTGCACAATGTTTCATTCTCCTGCACTAAAGGGGAACTGTTGACGGAGACCTCTCACTTGCCAAATGTTGGTTGTGATGAATTATCAGCCACTATATTTTAGTTTGAATACTGAGTCATTAGATTTGTTGGAGTATGAAAATTGTGCAATGCCCCTCCCTTTCTATTCCGAACATCTGACGTCAGCCAGACTTTTTTCAGGTGCAGAGGTGGTAAGGAGGGAGAAAATGCCTTACAGGGTGACACTGCCTATGCTGTGCTTATGGTTTAAATTCATGCATGAATGAAAAATCTTGATTTCTAAATATTTCATATCCATTGCTTTAAAGGTTGAACAATAAATTTCATTTTTTATCCTCTTTTTATTTTATTTATTTATTTTTTTAAAGCAGTAAGATATTTTCCGGTAGTCATGATATTTATCAGTCGACAGAACAATGTTCTGGCAGTATGCACTGACCAGTGTTGACAAATATAATGTATGCTCATATACTGCATAAATATCAATTGATATGTAACTTTGGAAAAAATTCTAACTATGATTGGTTTTTTGATTGTTAACTTATGCAGGTGCAAAAAGTAGTGAAATTTTCTCATCTGTTTGTGTTACTACTAGTAACTTTCTAGTTGGCTATTCTGTTAGTTGATATGGCAAATCCCACAATAACAGTTTGAGCATAAGGGGAGGGATTCCTTTGTAGAGCATTTCTAAGGGAAAATAGCTCATATTTATATTATACATTATTATATTCAAACCATAGAAATGTAAATTCTGATGCAGCTAATCTGCTGACTATGTTTCAAAATTGGTTTCAGTGGTTTTATTTATTTAGCTAGCAAGGAATAAAGTAGAGAGTATCTTCATAAAGCTGTATGAATGTTTTATAGCTTTCTATTAGATGTTTGCACAAATAAATCCAGCATTCTTGGGTTACTCAAAAGAATTTTTTAGATTCCTAACAATGGTTTAGAAAATCCAAACCAGGTGCATTAGAGGGCTAGCTTGATGCAACTGTATAAAATTATTTCGCGGTTAAGGGAAGGGAAATGGATCTTAACTCTTTGATCTCATTTGAAGGAAGGGGTTGGAACTTAATCAAGGAATAACTTTGGATGTGCTAAATAAATGCATTCTCCAGGCCCCAAATTGTTATGAATATGCTACTTGTGTATATATTCATCAGTTTATCTGTAGAAACAAACTGTGGGTGTATCATAATGTTTTTCTTACCAATACTTTTCTCAAGCAAGTTGTAAGCAAGCAAGCAAGTTGTAATGCCATGCAACTGCACTGCTATGAAAAGTCATCTGCTTAATTGTATTACATGTAAATATTCAGGCATAGGTTTGCATATTCTCTATATTTGATTATGGTTGTAGCTATTGATCTATTCATCCCTTGTCTGGACGGCATATTGCATTTCAAAAGGAGTTTCAAAATGGACGGACTGATGAAGTTGTTCTTAAGTCTAAAGCTCTAGAAACAGTATCAACTAGATATTCTCAGAGACTGGATCCATGTCTGTGCTGACAATCTCCAGTTTGTGCTAGGAGAGTATGCTGTGCAGGAGTCTTCTTGAGCCTCTTTACATATTATTCCGACTAGGATTAAATGTCACATCCTTTGATAGAGAAGTAAAAGCTATCCCTTGGCAGCTGACCATTTAATTATGAGGAACTTTCTAATATAATCAGGAATTTATCAGCTCAACTTTATTTATTGAAATGAGTTACTCACTGTTGTCAGCTCTAATGCAGTGTACTTGTTCCAATATATCCAAGAAGTTTCTTAATTCCAGAAGAAT